AATGAATGCTTCTTCACAGCATCCCTACAAGATTGCTGTGGTTATCCTCAGTTTCCAGAAAACACTGATGATAGAGTAAGTAACTTGCCTAAAGACACCTAATTAGTAGTATGTGGTTCTGTTGAGATTTGCACCCAAGTTAGTTTGACTCTATTACCCCCCACTGGCCCTTGGAAAGAAAAGAGGATCAAGGAACATGAATGTGGCTAAGGGGCAGTTGTCGCCCCAGCCACCATGTGGATGCAATGCCCATAGGAAGGGAAGAATGGATAAGAGGAGTGCCAGCTGCAAAAGGGTAAGGAGATGCTTTCACTGTCCAGCAGGGGCCAGGGTTTTATGAGGATGCTGAGAATAGAAGCATCAAATCCCAAAACAAAATGAGGTCTTTTGTATGTCCAGTGAGCCTGCCTGCTGTGCTCTCCCTTTGTGATGGCTCTTCTGATTTTCTGCTGTGAGCATCCTGCTTTCTGGCTCACTTCTCACCACATACAGGGTTGCAAAGAACTTGGGGTGGGGTTTATAAAGAACTGGAATGGGAACAGAGCCGACAGTTTAAATTCTGAACCTCCAAATAAAAGCTTCAAGGCTCCCTATCATATTGGAAAGGCAAAGTTGATCTCCAGCAGAGAGGGCCATCCCTGCAGTTCTGGTGGCTTGGGTGGTGTACACAATTCTGAAGCCAAAGAAAAGCCAAACAGCCAGCCTACTCAGCCCCAAACACCTCACACACTCCCACCTGTGTTCTTGTTAGTGGCAGGTATTTTTAGAGTCCTGAGCTCATGGTGTTACAGCATCTGCCAAATGCCTGAGGGCTGGTAAGGATTCAGCCTTACTCAGAGGCAAGAGTTAGGACTACTGTTGGGATGGAGATGAGGACCAGGAGCCAAGTGGTAATGATTTTCTTGTGCTATACTTCCTCTCTTCCCATTGACCTTTATTCCTTTCCTGGCCTGCTCTCCCTTTCTTCCTGCTCAGAGCACCAGAGTGGTGGAAGAAATGAACATCTTTCCTGTCTCTGCTTGTAGAAGCAAATCAGTCTTCGAGGACTTATGTTTTTCTGCATAACCAAAGTCAACTATTCACTCTGAAATTGCCTTGGCAGATACCTAGGATGCCAGACTCCTTGTAGTTTTGGTGGCTCAGGCCAATATTGCTTTTTGATAATGATGATTATGATGACGACACTGATGCTGACAATCATAACGAGGAGTGATCTGATGCAGAAAAAGATGGCTTACAGTTTAGCTGGAGAGATGCCAAGAGCACTGATAAAACAAATAGAGAACAAATAAATATATTCTAAATGGTGTGGCATAGACTCAAAGTGCAATAGAAATTTCTAAGAAAAAAGAATTGAAGAGAAGTTGGAAAAGGTTTTAGGAAGAAGATGGAGGCATGAGCTGAGCCTTGAAGATTGGGTGAGGTTTGGGTAAGTCAATGAGGGGGCAACTGATTCTGTAGGGGAAGGGTGAACTAGCAGGACCAAAGGTACAAAGAAAGGAATGAGCTAGGTATAACTGAGTAATTTTAAATGAGATTGGGTGGAGTCAAATTATGGCAGACAAAATTGTCCATTTGATGCCATATGATGTAGAGGGCTATCATCATTTCCTGATGAGGAAGATGACAAATCCTTGCTGATAAAAGCAAGGATTTAGGAAGGCTAGTTTGAAAGTACTATGCAGGAAGCACTGGAGCAGAGAGACATCTAGAATCCAAAAGACTTCGCTATAGTCCAGGAGTGAAGAGAGGAGGGTCTGGCCTAGAGACATGAAAATTGAAATGAAAGAATGGGTGAATCTGAAAGTTGTGCCAAGGCATGTGGTGGTCATGCCCACAGAGAGGATGAAGGAGAGCCAGGACAATGAAAATCAATGTTCAGAATGATGACTCTGGGGCCCTGTAAGGTCTTCACTCAGCAAAGAGACCCAATTATATTTACTAGATTACACTTACCAGCTGCTAACTCCAAATAAAGGCTATACTTCATTTTAAGAGCCATAGTAGTCAATTAGTAGCCATAATCAAATTTCCTTTGATAACTGAGAATTATATAGGGCCTTTTGACTATCACTCTGAGTATGACTTTTTCTTGTCCAAGACTTTGGATATATAAAGGGAAATAGATTGGGCTGAATGTGTGTCAACTCCAGAGTGTCCTTTGGGAGTTATGTCTTTGTATATGTTACTTATATCAGCATTTTTTCTTTTGTAATTTGGCCTTTATCCCAAAAGCTGAGATGTGGAAGAAAAATCCAATGAGTTAAATCACCTTTTATATAACAAAGAAATGAACTTAAAATAAATTGAAGTAAAAGGTGAGATTTTAACACTAACTTTGTTTTTTAAAATGTTATGCAAAAAAACAACCCCCCAAACAGTGATAGATGCTTACAATAGAAAATTTGGAAAATATGAAAAAATAAATAAATAAAAGAAATATCACCTATAGTCCCACTGCCCATAAATAATCATTAATTTTCTGGTATATATACTTCTAGTCTTTCCTATGCATGTGTCTATGATTTTATATACATATATTAATTGGGACCATAGCATATGAAGAATTTCTTATCCTGCTTTCACTTACTTATATTTTGTGTGCATTTCCTCCACCATTTATCCTTTGAGAACATTATTTTTTATGGCTACATAATAGTCCATCATATAGATATATACATACATTTCAGCTATTCCTCTCCTACTAAGCATTTAGGTTGTTTCCTGTTTTTTTTTTAAGGTATAAATAATACTGTGATTAAGATCTTTGTACAAAATTTTGAACACATCTCTGTTATTTCTTTTGTATAGATTTCTGAAAGTGGGACTATAGGCTCAAAGAGATTTAAAGATTTTTAAGGTTCTGATAATATTGCCAAATTGCCCTCAGAAAAGTTGACCAATTTACATTCCAGTTTCTCAACTAAAAACCTTAAGATTTTTCAACTCAACATTTCAACTAAAAATCTTAAGAAAAATCTTTATAACCCCAGAAGAAACTTCTCTCCATACTTTGATAAGTTTGTTCTGCCAATTTGTCAAAGAACCACTTCCTGTGTCAGGGCTTGTCACCTCAGTTTTATAATGCCGTAGAACCATGTTTTGTCTATCCTTGTTTCCTTTTCTGACTTGATATATGGGTTTTTGCGTCTTACAGGTTCAGGTGTGGGACACAGCAGGTCAGGAACGCTTCCGCAAAAGCATGGTTGAGCATTACTACCGCAATGTGCATGCAGTGGTCTTTGTCTACGACGTCACCAAAATGACATCCTTCACCAACCTCAAAATGTGGATCCAAGAATGCAATGGGCATGCTGTGCCCCCACTAGTCCCGAAAGTGCTTGTGGGCAACAAGTGTGACTTGAGGGAACAGATCCAGGTGCCCTCCAACTTAGCCCTGAAATTTGCCGATGCCCACAACATGCTCTTGTTTGAGACATCTGCCAAGGACCCTAAAGAGAGCCAGAACGTGGAGTCAATTTTCATGTGCCTGGCTTGCCGATTGAAGGCACAGAAATCCCTGCTCTATCGTGATGCTGAGAGGCAGCAGGGGAAGGTGCAGAAACTGGAGTTCCCACAGGAAGCTAACAGTAAAACTTCATGTCCCTGTTGAAACCAAATGATGTAAATACAAGATCGATTATCACTGGAGTTTTTTCTTTCTCTTTTTTCCATGCCTGCATAATGCTGACACCTGCTTGTTTCCATATAAATTGATATTAAAACAAAATTTGTATAGATTACCACATGCCTTCATGTCTTGCTTTCCTCTCAGAAGACATTTCTGATTGTGATGAGTAGAAGAGGCAGCTTGCCCTACTAGAATGATATGCCCATGCTAAGGCACACTCCCTACCAGCCTTCTATGCTACCTGAAGATCTCATTATCTGAGTCACTTCTTCAGGACTAAGTCATTGTCTCACTTGGTGTCATCAGTGGGCAGAAACACCCAGAGGATGTGGGTACAGGCCAGATATCCCACCTCCTGGAGGAACATGCGCCAATGCAGGTGGCGGGATAGAGTTTTGAAAGGAGATATTGACTCATCAGTATTTTCTCGGACCCCTAGATGTCAGAGAAGGCTACTCTCTTCTTAGTTCCCAAAGTTTAAGAATAAAAAGTATAGGTTGCCCAATGAGCCCATCTGCTTCCAAAGTAGTTAGATCCTTCTTCCCATTTTTCTGCCAAGCAGTCTCTGACACCAAAAGTAGTTCCCTACCTCTGCTGCCGTTTCTTAGAAAAGGCAGAACTCAAACTAACAAATATGTATTATGCCCCCAGATCTTTGCTGGGTGCTATGGAGGAAACATAACAAGAGGAGGATCCATCTCCTACATCCAAAGACCCTCTGATCTAGTTGCGGGAACAATGTACATCTTGAAACTACTTGAGAACAAAAATTAGACAATTAGATCACTGAATGCAAGGCTGTGCTATGAAAATTGAGAGCATTATGTACTCAACATCAGGGAGGAGGGTCATTGAAAAATAATTGGACTTATATTGTATTTCGAATAAAGTGTAATGTTTGAATTGGTAAAGAAGAGGAGTGTGCAAAAGTCTGGAGGCAGGAATGACCTTGGGAGTTCAGCGGGAGGACAACTGAGCAGCCCTAGTGGGGAGCCGAGGGCCTGGAAGCCTGAGCATCAGGAAGGATAGTTTGCTGATTTTGAGCCAAATGGGAGCTTTTGGTGTCTTTCCAGCAGGATTCCTGTAGGTATTTTTTATATGTTTGGTCCTAAGCATGTGAAAGCCTCTTGTTCAATTGTTAAAGTAACTAAACGGTTATAAAAGTATATCTACAATAACCTCAGGTAGATTTCTTTGCTTGAGGGTGCTCCTTAAGCCACCTCTGTTTTTGGAAGCCTGTGGGGAGAGGGTCTCAGGTAGATAGCTCCTGAGCACATTCCTCTCATAGGCAAATGCAGGTCTGCCTCTTGCCTCCAGCTAGCAAAGAGTAATAAGTCCCAAATGCACCTCGCACCGAAACAAATAGCCTATCTGGTCCTTCTTGGTTGTCCCTGCAGCCTTCTTCCTCTCACACTGGTTTATCCCCCACCCCTGGTTGGTTCTCATTACTTGGCTTCTGCCTAGATCCTAGTCTTTGCAGCCCGCCTAGTCTCCCAGTGAAGGTTATTTTCTTACTAGTTGTCCCCACCTCATGCCTAGCCCCTCAATCTCACCCAAGGACTGGGAGCCTATTGTTTGTTGGTGAACTGCCTGCTGAAACCCCTGTCGTTATGCTTCTCCACAATGAAATAACCAGGACTTTGTCTCAGACTTCAGATGCTGACTCCTTGCTCAGGACACTACCTGCTGTTGTGGTGTCTTTTGGCTCTTACGACCTGGCTGCAGGGCTAAATCACCTCTCAGTGGCTTCAGGTATACTTGTTGATTCTAATGAATACATTTCAGTCTGGGTCCTGGCCTGCGTTGGTCATTTCTGCTGTAACTGGGTCAAGATGACAACATTCCAAGTTCTCTAACCAGGATTGCCTCTTCTAGACCTGGATTGCCTCTGACACTGTTCAACACTTACTGAGCACCTACTATGTGCCATTGTTCTAAGACCCCAGGTACATAGGTGAGCAAAATAAAATCCCCATTTTCATAAAGGAGACAGATACTAAATCAGAAATGAGATACATAAATGAGATAATTTGAGACAGTGATAAAGACTCTAAGGGCCATTAAACAGGGTAAATGGATGGAAAGTGAGGGAGGTGGGGGGAGGGTGACATATTAGAGTGGTCACAGAAGACATCTTTGAAGAGATAACATTTGAGCTGAGACCTGAGTGAAGAAAAGCAACTAGCTATGAGGCCAGGGAGGAGAGAACCCCAAGCAGAGGAACAACAAATGCCAAAGTCCTGAGGCAGGAGTGAGGTTGGTATGTTCGAGGAATGGAAATGAGACTGGTGTGGTTGAGCGAAAAAGGGAGAGACTGTGGGAGATGAGGTGATGAAGTAGGTAAGGCCAGGTCTGTTGGGTTATGGTTTTATTTAAATGCAGTGGGAAGCCAGTGGAAGGTTTTAGCATCGTCTAGGGTCAGTAACCTTTGGAAAGATTCAGCAGGTTTGCTGACCTGCAAGAGGGAAAAGCCTCCACTTTTCTTAACTACTCTGAGAAAAATAGATACCCCTTCCTGGTGACTCCTGAGTGTAGGCCTTGGGGCTGCCACTTCTATGCTGGCTGGCCCCCACCTTGAAAAACAGACACTGAAAACTTCTCTCAGATTATCACTTTTTGGTTCTGCCAAGGCTTTGATAGTTTTGCTGTGAATAGCAGATACCCACCAATCCTACCTGCCTCTATCTTCTGCGTGTCACCTGCTTGATTCTGTCCCTTCCTGCAGTATGACATTACTCTCCCTCAGGAGCTTGGAGACAGCCAAGAAGTCCTGGGGATCCTCACTGTGGCCCCAGGAATCTTGAGAATCTCTGGGTTCCACCCAGTTTCCTAGCTCCAGAACTTTCTTCTCGCAATAGCGGGATGGCCCAATGACACTCAGGCATCCCTCAGATTGAGCAGGAGGACTTGGGAATGGGCTGAGCCCAGAAGAAGGGGACTCTGGAGGCCAGAGAACCATGACATCCTTGTTTCCTTGAGGGTGGTAAGGAGTAGGATGATTCAAGGGAAGAATGGTGCTTCCAGGCTCCTCATTTAACCTCACTATGTCTCTGGAATGATCCATAATGGTCAGTACCTCTCCTTTACAGCTTCTCTTCACTTTCTAGACCTGTGCCCTTGAGTCTTCACTGGTGCTAAAGAGACAAGATCTGGAGAAATAACTACCAACATTTGAATGCCTATTATGTGCCAGGTCCTGTGTTAAAACATGACACATTCTTTCACTAGTTTATTCAATGCTCTTTCAACCTTATGAGGTAGGGATAAAGGTTACATTTTACAGGCAAGAATACAGATGCACCAAAAGATTTAGTAACTTGTCCAGGGTAGTAAGTGGTGAAGTGAGATCTGTCTTACTTTAAGTCTAACCTCCTTCTATGATATCATACTGTCTGTCCAGCTAGTTCCAAGGTCTAGGACCTTTAAGGGATTGCAGGTTGACTCCAGCCAATCCCCCTGACCCATGGGGGTTTTGTGAGCAGGTCATTCATTTATTATTCAGGCCAGACTGGGACATTCCACATTGAATGAGATGCCCATGACCAGATCTGTGTAAGAAGCCCAAGTGGCTGACAGAAGTGTCAGCTCTGGGTCAAAGGATTTCCTAAGATGTCATTGCCAATAGGACAATAGCTGGAAACCACAAAGCCAGCTGGATTCTTCTACTCAGCCTTTGAAGCTGTAGGATCTGTCACAGATCCCCCTCCAAGAACTATCTCTCCCCAATATCTGTGCATTTGCTTAGGGCCCCAGATTCAGCCTGAAGACTTGCTCTGGCCAAGGACTACCTCAGCAGGATCCTCCAGTCAGCGAAGCCAAGACCAGATGTTTCTATAGCACTGCTACCTAGAGGAGTGCCCATGAGGGATACCCAGCCCAGAACAGCTGGAACCTCGCCCCCCACCCCAAGTGAAGCTGACTGCAGCCCCCTCTGAGTATGTGCGGGGTGAGGGTGACGGATGTGGAGATGTGCTGAGAGCTCCCTGGATAGCAAGGCTTGACTTCTGCGACTTTGAGTGGCAGATGGAGAGAGAGGCCAGTAATTATTCTCCTGTAACATCTGAGAGAGTCGCTGCCTTACCTTACAGAGACCTTGCTCTACCTAGCATCCCTCATCCCCTCACTGGGAGGGGCTTTGCTTCCTCTGGAAGGGCTGGCCTAGACTCCACTGGTTTCAAACTTTGTTCTGACTTCAACTCCATGACTGTCAACTGACAGAATAAAATTGGTTGGCAACTTGTTAAAGTACAGGATATTAGCCCTGGACACTGATCTACTAGAGCTGTGGGCAGGACCCAGGAATTTGTATTTTTTCCATTTTAATACTTTTATTTTTAAATTACAGTTGACATACATTACTTTCAAGTATACAACAAGTGACCAGATACTCACATAATTCATCTGACTCCATACGTAGTTATTACAGTACTACTGACTATATTCCTCCTGCTATACTCCACATGCCCATGACTCTTCTAACTACCAATTTGTACTGCTTAATCCCAACCCCTACTTCACCCATCCTCAACCCCGACCACCCAGCAACCATCAAAATGCTCTCATGTCTATGAGACTGTTTCTATTTGTTCGTTTATCCTGTTCTCTAGATTCCACATATAAGTGAAATCATGACATTTGTCTTTCTCTATTTTACTTCACTCAGTACAATACCCTCTAGGCTGGGGATCCCCAACCCCTGGGCAGTGGACTGGTACCAGTCCGTGTCCTGTTAGGAACCGGGCCACATAGCACGAGGTGAACAAGCGAAGCTTCATCTGTATTTGCAGCTGCTCCCCAGCTCAACCTCAGATCATCAGGCATTAGATTCTCATAGGAGCACCAGTCTCCAGTGTCAAAAATTTTGGAGACCGCTGCTCTAGGTACATCCATGTTGTTGCAGATAGCAAGAGTTCATTCTTTTTTATGGATAAATAATATTTCACTGTATCTATATACCACTTTTTTTTTTTTATCAATTTATCCACTGATGTACACTCAAGTTGCTGCCATATTTTCGCTATTGTAAATAATGCTGCAATGGACGTATAGATGCTCATGTTGCTTAAAACTAGTGTTTTGGGTTTCTTTGTAAATACCCAGAAGTGGGATTAC